ATGTGGTCGATTCTTCGACCTTTAACTTTTGGGAGTTTGTGGTTTCCCACTCAGCAACAAAGTTGAGCTTTCTGGATCGCCCAGAAACTCAGGGATGCCCATGGAGCTAAGTGTAAGCTAGGATGGCTTAGGCATGCTGAAGATACCAACGGGCGGAGGATGGCTTAGCTGTTGGGCCCAGTGAGCCGAGTGTTTGTCTCAATGTACCAGCTTTCTCATGGACAAACCTCCTGCTCTTGGGCTTGCAGATGAGTCCGACAAATTTGGCCGACCTCGAGTTCTCGTTTGATGATGGACTGTTTTTGGAGACAAATTTGCCCGTCCTCAAGTTCTCAATTGAATATTCATACTTTTTTGGGAGACGGCCCATACCGCCCATGCCACCTCGGTCCTTCCCTGAATCACACGGATGCAGCTGGCTGGCGCCCAGGCATTGCCCCTTCGGCGCCGGCAAGCACCAGTTCTTCGCGTTCGACCTCACGTTAGTAACCTAGCTTTTGTTTATGGTGGGGGGGGTCGCAGGTCTTAGTGTCTCGATTTCTTCGGCGAGTTTACAAGGCACCGATCAAAGGATGTGGGGGGGGGGTTCCGGTATGGGGGAGAAATGCCCAAATGGTGCAGGTGCCAGGAGCTGTGCTGTCAACGGAACCTCCTTCAAAGTGAGAAAGTCGTGGTAATGGCAAAAAGGGGGGCCACGTGGCTGGTCCAAAGTTTTACACACTTTGACGTCTGATTTTGCGGCACGAAACTACAAAGACACCAACGGTAGGCTGGTCACTTTGGATTTCATTCAAAGGACTCGCTTGCCATTTGTTGGTGCAAGTGCAGGCCTGGCTGTCGGAGCCAGTCCTCGACTTTGAGCTTGTTTTCTTTGTGTATTGCTTGTATGTCCACCTTTGCATTGAAGCATTACCCTTCGGGCCACTTCAAAGAGTATTTTATCATTTGGGTGTCCTGTGGCAAGGACAAATGTCGGGATCCCCGTTGCCAAAGCAAAACTCTGTCGAGCAAAGCCTTGAGCCAGGTGGGTCTCATCCTCCTGGGCGGGTGTCAGTCCTTTGATCCCGACGCCTTCACCGAGCGCCGAAGTCCGGCGAGCGGGCCAGGGCTTGAGAAGAGCGACGCAGTGTAGCCCCCGCCAGACTGATTTTAAGCACTTAACCCCCAATTACTGGTTTGGTTTGGTTGGGTGTGTGTTTCCAGTTTGGGTGGTTTGGAAGTTGGGTTGGTGGGTTGTTTGGGTGGTTTGGAAGTTGGGTGTTTCCCAGTGATCCAAGGATTCAATTGCGAAAACCACCAATCCAGACCACCAACTGAGGGTACGGTGATTACAGGCCGATCTCGCAGAGCATCTTGAGCATTCTGAAACACCATGAAACCTAAAATGAGGAGCTGACTGCAAAGAGCGGCCACCAGAGCATGGCCCTTTGTGCTGAATGGCCCTTACTCTATTCATCACTTGGCCTTCCTATGGTTCCGAATCGCTACATGCTCTAAGAAAGGACTATGATCGAGATGCTGTTCTAGATATCCAATATTGGTCTGTGTTCTTGGATGTCTTTAAATTATTAATACATATATATATATACATATACATATTTATCCTCATTCGATGCACTTTTAAGTTTCCCGAATGTGGGGAGGTCGCCGACTTCCGAGAAATGGTGACCTGCATAGTACAGATCCTGAGTCACCAAGGCTGCTTATGTCCTTGGCTCAGGAACTTGTGTGGCTGAGATGTTTAAATTCCAAGTGCTTGGCTTTTTGCTTTTTGTACGTAGCGTTCAGCTTCATTCTCGGGGGTTCCCGTGCACACGTTCGCGATGGATGCCCCGCGCATGAAGCTGGCGGTTTTTCAAGCGCTGCACTGCTCAGGCGGAAGCAGATTTTGTACCGAACTTAGGTCATTGTGTGACTGAAGATTGTCTGGACGGGCACCGGTGGGTTTATACCTTTTTTGTGGAACTTTGCGTATAGGCGGAACACTCTCTCTGCCTTCCGCCCGTTGCACAGCTGAATTTGCAAGCAGGGTTCCTCGCATAGAGTCCCTTTTGTTTGGTGGCCTAAGCATCACTCTTGGGAGAGGCAAACTTATCCGGGTGTTGCTTGATGTTTGTTTCCTTTTGGCCTTCTTTTTCAAGAAGCTCTGGTTGTGGACGGGTGGGGACACCCTGATGTCAGAACCATGACCGGCGCCTATGTTCGGCCTTTCCCGGGTTGCTCTGAGCGTTTAGATCAACGTGCCGGACCGGTTTAAAAGGGAAGGGCCGGGATTGTCTCAAATTCTGTTTGCAACAAGCCGTGTATATCTTGAAGCCTTCGACTGTTGACATCCTCTTCCATGTTTTTTCAGGTGCCCATGGTTCGAGCTTTGTTCATCGCTGGACTCGAAATGAATCAATTGAAGGAATGCCACTTGGCATGGACAAGACATGCCTTTGCAGAGCCAGAGCCGGCCAGGTGCTTTGCTTTTTTGCTGCTGACAATATGTTCCGTCGACCTGTTATCCTTTCGCGCCCTTCGTGGAACATGCGCGAAATTCAAACCCCTCCGCTGGCCGGACGGGGCGATTGACGGGGCTGAAGGCCCTTCTCGACTCTTTGACCTGACCTCTCACAATTGATGTTTTGGTTGGGTCCAAGAGGATTTCCTTTTTTTGTCTAGAGTGTACACCACTGAAGCAAGATCTGCAGGAATTCGGATGATGTCCGGGAGATCTTGCAGTTTTATGCCGACTTTGGATCAATTCGGATTCCGAGACCCACTCAGTCGCAGGTTTTCCGCTTATGGTCAGTCAGGCCCCATTGCCCGAGCCGTGGCAATGGCCCGAGTCTTTCGAGCCGTGTCTGTCGACGGATGGCAGGGTGTGGCAGCTCCCTCATGTCTTGTTTTACACGTTTCCGTGCGACTTTGCGATGATTTGGCTATATGCATTTAAGGCCCTTTGGTTCTTATGCACTGAAAGGGAGGGAGCTCTCAAGGAAGGTGGGGAATGGCAAATTTCTTCCCATGCTCTGAGTGAACCTACTACCATTTGTGTGGGAAAAAGGCTCTGTTTCGTCATGGCAAGCCAAAAGCTAACCTTTCTCCCACCAGCGTAGCGCTTTGTGGCAGGCACCTGGGGTCTTCCAAGATCCTCTTGGACCGGAACAACTATTCCAGGGCCTCGTTTGACATGAATTTGCCTTCAGGGTTCACTAAACAGGAAGCAGAATCAGACATATTAAAACGTTAAAACTGGTTGGGAGGGCGGGGCGCAAACCTGAGGAGTTTGTCTTAACTGGTTGATCCGATCAACGATTATGGCGGACTCTTGTTCCTTGGGGCTCCCTTCATATTCACTTTGGCCAGCCGAGCGAACCTATTGCAGGCCTCAGGTTGGCCAATGAGCAGAGCACTGGGTTCTAGGCGACACCTTTCCGGACTCGACGTTGGGTTCCCTTTTGTTCGGTCGGTGAGTCACTATAGTGGATCCATCTTTGTTCGGTTCTACTAGTTCTCTGGCATACAAGCCTCTTGCGGTTCTAGTTCAGAACCCTCATTGAGGGTCAAGCTTGCTTGGAAGGCAAGTTGCATTGGGGCAACATTGCCTGAAACTACAGAAACTACAGAAACTGCATTGGCGAGTAATAAGTTTTAACCACAGACACTATGCAGTGGGGCAGAACCCTAATTGTCCGATGTTTTCGAAGGGGAAACGAGACATTTTGACCAGTACTCACACGAGTCTGCATTGAGATCAGGCGCCCACGACCGAGACACTACTGGGTACACAAACCAATAGCTAACTCGTGAACTGCCCAAAGACTCCACACCCGAAGGCCAAAATCCCTCGACGCGCACAAAGCACATGCACGGCTCCGCGAGGGAAAAGAGCAGGGCAGGCCAACTTGCATGAGGATGTCATAGTTGCGCCATAAAGCATGTCAAGAATGTCAATAATGTCAAACAAATTGCGTAGTTCCCATACTTTGCATAGTTCCCATGGCGTCACAAATGTCAAAGCACCCAAAACACCAAAACCCTTTAAACGCCATGGGAATGGCGGTTCTGATCTTGGGCCTCTAGCAAGATCCCGGAGCCGGGACCGTGGCTGGCGATTCCTATTGATGTCAATGTGTCGATGTCCAGAAAGGGTGTCAGATGTTGTCTAAAGGGACCAGTCTATTGCTGGCGTTTTGGGGGAAAGTAGTCAAAATTTGGGTGTCGGTTGTGGAACTCAAAGTTGGTTTGAGTCAAATTCGCTAAACCAAACATCAGTGCTTCCATGGGTTTCCCATGAACACAGACCAAAAGAGGGGTGTCATCAACAGAGACACACGAATTCATCAACTCACTTATTTGGAGTCGGCTCAGTTTTCATGTGTGCAATGAATAGTCGATTCTCGCAGTTTCCACTGGCACCCGGCTTCCCTCGCCTTGGGGATGGCTTCTTCTTTAGAAACAATCAGGGCTTTGGTGTTTGCACCATATTGACCGGCAAAACATACCACCAAGTTCTCTTTCAGCATGAGACTGTACAAGGAATTACGGTGCATAGCTTGTTGAAGCAAAGAGTCGCAAGACACGTGAAATAGGACACATCCGGCTGCGGCTCAGAAAATGGTACCCAAAAGGGCCCCCCTGGGAAATGAACACCAAAGACCAAAAACTGCGTGACCCTATTTGGTTTTGAGCCACACCCATCTCCTTTGGCTAAGGCTCGTGTCATTTTCCCGGGGTTGCGGAAGGTCACTTCGGGTACCTCTAGCATTGATCAACCAGGGCTTTGTTCAACTAGGTTCTCATGAAAGGGGGGTTTGTGTTGTGGCCGACACATATAATTAAGGGCACGAGTATCTAATCATGACATGTGGTTGTAAAGTCCCCCACAACCCCATTCTTATTGTCAGATATACAAAGGGGTGTCCTTTTTGATGAGCCAAGGGCTTCATTCCGGGTTCGCATGAAAGGCCATCATATTACCCTCCGCATTTTCCACGTGGCTGAGGACCCTTCTTAGATCTAAGCCTGGGATCCGTGCAGAAGGTGCAATGGGGTTGCTGGGTGGTGCGTCTGAGTTTCAGATAGCAGTTCGGGTTGTTTGGCGTGAAAAGAGCCTGGACAAATCCGGAAAAGGGGATGTGTTGTTTTTGTTTCGCTGGAAAAATGGCCGTGAGGCAACTTGCATCACTGGGTGTCTCTGGTTCATGGGAACACGAACCGAGCTTTTATGCAAGCTGGAGCTGAATTGCCACAAGGCCAAGGGTGCCAACTAGGGACCTCAATGTCCTTGTGGCTTTAAACAGAATTCCCTCTATTTATACCCTTCTCTAGACCTCCATCAGTGGCAATTTGGTTGGAGCCCACCGGTAAACTGCAATTGTTGAATTGGGGAAATCCAGCAACCCCTGCCTAAACGCCCCGCAAAAAAGGTGTCCGAGTGTTTGGACACCCGCAAAATCATGTTCTTCCTTGACGAAAGGGGCCCTTCAACGTTGCGGGAAGTAGGTCGGAGTTTTCAATCACGGTTTTCTTCATTTTTACCGTGTTGAACTTTTGCTACCTTCAGCATTCAGCCTATTTCATCCACTTCCATGCTGCCAAGGAGCACTAGGCCCCTGGAGGAAAGAGTTCGTCGTGAAGCTTTGCCAGTTGTACGGAAGTGGCAAGGCGTTTGCTTGGCTTGTGAGTTGGGTTAAGGTGTGCAGCGAAACGAAGAATTGGGGCCTGGAAGCTATGAGCAAATTCGATTGAGTTATGTGACCCTGCACTAGGCTTACATTGGCAGGCGCGGCCGCTTTCTTGTTGGTGCCTAGACGTACTCGTTGAATGTGGCTTTGATGCGAGTCGTCCGGGTTTGACGTTACGTGTTCCAGCCTTGCTGACAGAACACCGAGCTGTTCTTGGTTGAGTTGTGTTTTGACATTTGAGTGGTTGACCCTTTGGAAAATGACGGCTTCCACGTGTTCTTTTGCAGGGGTCAATGACCAACCCTGATTCAACCACTGTCACTCCCACTCGATGTCATGCTTCACTGTCAGAGATTTAATCAAAGCCGGACGAGCGGGCGAACGAACATCGCATATCAGAAAGGCAGCTCGTGATTTCAAGGACAAGAGCATGAGATTTCGCGCTGGACTTCGCATTTTT